AGATTTTTTAGATCTACATCAACCTCTCTTAATATAAGTCCAATATAATACCTTTCTTAACGACAGAGTTTCTTAATATTTCAACAATTACACAAAAAATATCTCTATGTTTAAAATTTTAGCTTCTTTTTACTCAAGGGGTTTCATAATCTGCCTTGACATCCTCGCAGGTATCTTTATCCCAGAATCATCTACTAGACATATATGATTCTAGATGTGACCCCTACAAGTTCAAGTGGCGACTCCCACTACTTAGCACATTATCCACTATAACAAAAACTACAAATTATGGTGGTATTTTCCATGGATATACATATATCTACTGAAAATATTCACGGACAAACCAGAGGTTCTTTCAAAGGACATACTGTTGGTAATTTTTTCACGGCTAATCTATTTGTTTGGCCTACAATAAGTTCTTACCGATGACAATACCGACTGATTTTTCGCTGGAAAGTTTCCAGTGGAATGTCCAACAGAATTTTCGTCGGGTTACTTAAAAATGACGAATAGTTTTTAGCAGATCAGCCACCGGAAAAATTTTCGACATAAAAACTATCGAAAATTATATTGGAGGAAGCCCTATTTTGAGCCCTTCGCGATCGTCTGCTCATATTTTTTGGATTTCCTTTGTTTCTTTCTCTCATCCTCCCATTCTCCACTTCGTCTCCTGTGGTTCACCGTCGTCATTCATGCCTGTTCGTCGCCCGTCGTGATGCTATAGCCACGCGTCGCAATTCACAGCCTCTGCTAATGTGTCCGTATGTCGTCTCATCTGTGATTTTGTAGTATCTTGGTAAATTTTTTGTTGCAAAAGCATTAGTACTAAAGGAAATTGAATGGACGAAGATTGACATAATTATGAGATTAATTATCATGTTAAAAGCATGAGTTCAGTAAGAAGTTTTAATGGATGCATAAGATATGATAAAGAGCAAATTTTTCAATTTTGTGAATGGATGCATGCTATGGATATAATATTATAAATATTTTGTATGATTATCATCATTTGGTAACTAATTTTGTGAGATTCATAACTTCAAATTTATCGACATATAACTTAAAATTACATGGTGAAATAAAAAATCATTTGAATTATTTTTTATCATCAAAGAAAAAGTTTTAAAAACCTTAATTAATTTACAAAAGAGTTTGTTAATGATTCCATTTCATCACGTAAAACAACATTCATGGAAGAAGTTTAATTAATTTTAAGATATGAAAATAATATCCTATCTCTCGGAGGGTGAAATGTTTAAGAAAATTATCTTCACATATGTACTAAAATAAAATCTTAATCCTTTAGCCAACCATCCTTCCTCTTACTATATATTCTATTTTATTCTGCATTCATCTTTTAGCCAACCAAAAGGTTCCTTAGAGGAGAAAAAATTATAGATCCAATGTGAAGCAATTAAAGAAACTTCAATACAAAATGACAATATTAAAGCTTGGCTCTATAGGACATGTCATTGCACTATATTGTAGCATGAACTATATTGAATTGCAACTAAAGCACAAGTCCTAGTTGATTTTGTTGTTGAATTGTTTACACTATCAATAGTGTCTATTGAAAATATTTTCTCATGTCAAAGAGATAATCCAAATCATTTGAAACTATATTCATGCATACTCTAGGTCGATTTGCAAATTATTATGAATTCTATGCATGTGTAGGATGAAATATATCCCTCTAATAACTTCATATTATGCATGTATAGGATAAATTCTTCATATTATGGATATTAAGAATCAAAGAAATAGAATGTATAGCTGTTTGACATAAGGATGAAAAATATTAACATATGAGTTCATTAATAAGATGAATTTTTTCATTCACACAGTCTGTCAATTGCCTATCTTTCTCTCTGATGTAAGGTTTCGCACTAAATAAAGGTAATTGTTGATCTATATCACATAGGATTCATGTCAGAATATTGGCATTAGACTTCTAATGATAAGTACAAGCCACATTTTGATTCTCGATACGACCTCCTCCAAGATGGAGCTGTGAGAAAATATTTAAAAGATTAAGATACATGACCACAATTAGGGGTGTCAATATTTGACATGACACGAAAACCCAACCCGGACTCGACCCGGAAAATCCGGGTTGGACCCGACCAGATTTCAAAACGGGTCGGGTTCGAGTTCCAGAAATCGACCCGTTTGAAAAACATAAAGCTTTTTGGTGTTTGTTTAGGGTGGATGATCCATGGCTACTACAATTACTTTTTTAAACTTAATTTTTTTTTCATATAAAAAGGCTCCTAATGTAATATATTTTAGTAAATGTAAATAAATTATAATTGCTTGAGGGGAGTTAAGTGAATGCTTGGTAGTTTATTAGATATGTAAAGCATTAATCTTTGTGATTTTCTAAAAACTATACATATAAGTATAAGGTGGTGCTCATCATATTTGTGATGATTTGAGTAAGTGTGACACAAACTAAACAACCTAACACAATAAGTATTGATTAATATGCACATGACATGTGATGCTAGTTGGATGTACATGAATAATAACTTGACACATTTGTAAAAATCAACGAGTAATTTTTATTTATTAAAAAACTAATTCATGGGAAGTTTAATTTTATGTCTTATGATGCTCTCGAAATTAGAGAAATATGCTCATTGTTTGTTTTTTTGGGAAAATATGGTCGAAAAATTTCTTCATATTAAAATACCCCTGCTTTAGACCATATACTACTTTACGTGCATTGTAACCAAAATTATTCTGAATAACTTAAAAAAAAAAACTTTAATCAAGGTTGAGATCATAAGTAAGAAAATTTTGGCCCATGCTCAAATATTGTTCAAACTATTTGAATAATATGTTCGAATTTGATTAAGAGTTGTACAATATTCAAACTATATTAGCACATGAGCTGAGTAAGGTTCATATAATGTTCAACCATGGTTTAATCTTGTTAAACAATACTGTAAAATATAATAGAAGCAATCACAATATATTTAACACAATAGATTATACAACAAAGACAATAGAAGATAAAAGCACAATAGCATTACATTAAATGAAAGTGGCTATGATCTTATAATAGTAACAAGATTGGTACAGTCATAATAGTTATAATACAACATAAAAATTGCGGACAACTAAGTTGAAAAATGAAGCACTAATCAAAATTATTTAAAAAACATTTCAATGCAGTGGATAAACAACAGTTTTTATTTTTACACATTTTATTATCGCAGTATTATAATAACAATATCGATCAATTATCATTTATTCACATACCAGTATTCAATCTCAATGTTTGTATTAATAATATGTTTAAATGAAATGCCTATTGAGTAAAATTTTATAGTTTCAAAATATAACCAAATTATCAAGGGTTGTGTGAAATATCATTGTAAGATTTTAATCGTGCTACAATACCATTTTTCAGAGTCTATATTATTTTTTATTAAATAAAAATAACAAAATTTTCCCACTAGCAAAAAATTTTCAGAAAATATTCAAAATATTTAGAATATCAATCGCTATAACATATAAAAAGTTACACGATGAATTATTTTCAATGCAAAGCTTTTCTTATTTTTTGGTAATGAGAAAAGAAATTTAATAAAAAAAATTTGAAAAAGAATTGTATTTTTGAAAACTAAGATATGCATAATGAAACATACCTCAATTCAGACAATTTTCTCAATTGACCCGACAGTTAAAAATAACTCAAAGCAGCTTAAAAATTCTTCTTTCCTCCTCCAAAATCCTCTCCTTCTCTCTCCTGCTCGAATGGTTACGACACTCGAATGAATGAAATAATGAATTTATTAATATTTAAAGTGAAGATAACGGCGTAGCTCTGGTCTTGAGTTTCTTGGTCTAGTCGCTGTTGAAGCATCGAATGAAAGAATGATTGAAGCCTAAACTAGCCAGAAAAGCGTCCGAGCTTTCACTCTCTGCTTCTTATTCAATAAAGAAAGCACTAGGCAGGTCATTCAGAAAGAATTGAACTTCCCAAAAACTCCTAACTTCACTTTCGAGGCAAAAGAAGATTCCGATATTGATTCTAGTGCCAATTCGGGTGGAGATCCACTGCGACACTATTTCATTTTTCAAAAACTCTAAACTATAGCTGAAATGTCACTATTTGGCGCATCGATGTTGTTGCAGCAGTGCGGTGCTTATACAACTAACACCTAGGCGTTCAAATAAAAAGTTTTAGAATTTTTACCAAAAAGTACTTCAAACCCTCGTGACTCAATCTAGAACACATGCATAACTTTTTCATACATAAAAATACTTCCAAATACATATAATATGTTCAAAACACAAAATTTCAAATATTTACCTTTTAAAATTACTTTTTTTTATATATTTTGAATTATTACACATTATACCCTAACTCTATTAAATTGAGTAGTATAAAGTCTCTTTGCATATATGATTAGAGATCAAAAATATTTGCATGTATAGCAAGACAACTTAAATGAGTCCGATCCTCTAAGAGACATGGAGTGCAAAAGTATAAATTTAAAATTTTATCTATGTTTGATCAAAGATTGATCAAATCTTGATCAACCTCACTAGAAGTTGTTTGAGTAATTTTTCTACACTGATCAAAATTTATTTGGACATTGATCAAAATAATTTTTTAGTAACGATTGAAGCTACTTCAAACATTGTTGGAACCTTATTTAGAAATATAAACAAGATTTAAACAATATTTAATTACTAGCAGAATAAATTTCAATTTCAATCAAGTTCAGAACAAGTTTTGATTAATGTTCGAAGCTGTATTTGATGTTTAATACATGGATTTATGGTCAAGAGTGAAAACATTTAACATCGACGAAGCTAAGAACTTGGCCAAACATAAAACATATAACAATGTTTGTAGTCATTCTAGGTTTTGCTGCTTATAGATAAATGAACGGACATCCAAGCCGCTGGATCCATCCGTCATCTCTCTCTTCGAAACGAACGGCTGATCCCGTCACTCGAGGCTCTTCGGTGCTACCTTTCAAACGTCGGTTTCTCTCTCTCTCCATCACGTATTCGCTGGATGAATCAGTAGGAGAAAAAAACCAATCTCTTCTCTCAAGGGTTTTCATCCTCCTTTCGTCCTGCAAATTGTCCGTTTCGATCTCCTTCATTTATCGATCCATGTATAACGGCATCGGTCTACAGACTCCGAGAGGCTCCGGAACCAATGGTTACATCCAGAGCAACAAATTCTTCGTGAAGCCCAAGTCAGCTAGGGTTGACACCAGCGCGGTCGGCGGATCCGCGCAACCCGAGGGAGTCGGCGGCGTCCGGAAACCTAATAAAGATATACTCGAGCACGATCGGAAGCGTCAGATCCAGCTGCGCCTTATCGTTCTTCAGGATGCTCTAGCCGACCAGGGTTTTACCGATGATGAGATTGCGGAGAAGATCGAGGAGGCGAAGAAGGCGCTAGAGGTGGAATTGGCTGCATCTGCTTCTACTGCTTCCGGCCGCCCTCCCTTAAGCAAGAGGTTTGTTAATATCTCATATCTGTTCTTAGGGATTCTGTTATTAGATTCTTGAAATTTCCCCATACGCTAATCTTTTTAGCGGTTTGGTTGCGGTAATTATATGGAATTTGGGATGGATTTGAGGAAAATCGATCTAAGTAGATTTTTCTTGAATCCTGGATCTAGCAAATCCGGCCAATAGCAGGATGTAAGGGATTTGAAGGTGTAGGAATTAAGGATGAAGTAAATCATGTTACTTGCATTCAAACAGTTGCGAGGATTTATGTCTGATTTAAGATATTGAAAAACAAAGTTAACTTTAGTATGTTTTAGTAAATCTGTTACATTTGGATATAGTCAATCTTGGGGCTGTTAAATCCTGTAAACTGTTTTCCATGACAACTAATAAATCTGGCAAAATCCTCATGAACTGTTTGATTGTTATTTTCAGGATTTATGATTAAAATTAAATTTTAAGGTGATTTGATTTGCGGAAGTTGATTGATGTGTAATTTAGTAGTTAATATTTTAAACTAAGATAATTGGAAAGTAAAGAAGGGTTTGCTTAGGTTCTTTAAAGGTTGGCTAAATTTTTTTATTTAACTGATTAATCATATTGTTGATTATATATTCTTAAAGTTGACTGGGATATTATTAAATCTAATTAGGATGAAATGAAAAATAATAGGTAAAGTTAATGGCCTGATGAGGATCTATGCCATCAGAGTTGACAACGAGGTATAAAGAAGAGGAAACTGTAGATGACATGCTTAAGGATTTGCTAAATCCCGGCTCTTCCAAGATTTACTAAATCCTAAATTTGGCGCACAACAGAGAGAAAATAGGATTTTAAGAACTATAAGATTTGATGACCCACAATAAACATGTTTGGCAAGATTGGCCAAATCTTGGTTAAATCTTGCAACCTAACAACCCCTTAAGGTTTACAAAATTTGGGTACAAGATATACAAAATTATACTTAAATCAGCCATGCTTCTAAACAACCCTAAATTAAATTTAGAGTAAGTGTTATATGCCAGATAAAAAAAAGTGTTATATGTCAGATTTTGCTTATCTGCCTGCCATCTAAGCATATGCTTTTGCTCATTATGATTAGATGAGTGCATGGTAGAGTATTGATATCCTTTCACATCAGTGAAAAAATCTACTCTATTTGTTTTAATGATGCACCTTGTAATTATTTCAATGTGAAATGTCGCTCTAGTTTTGGTAGGTTGGAACTGAAGTCACATAATTTTTTTTAAACTACTTTGATTTCAATTGATCAAATTTCAGCAACTCAAAATAAAATTGATGGATGTGATTAGTAATTGCATCAGTTCACTAATAAGGGTAATTGGGAAGGATCCTTATTACATGAAGTATGGTACTGGTTGACTTGGAAGATCTTCCACTGTTTTGAAGTTGTGATGCTTGAGAATTTAAGATTAGAGAGCTTGGTATCTATTCATTCATTATTTCCTTTCAATTATGTTTTTACAGGTTTTCGGAGACACAAACACATCAAATTGCTGCACGGAAAGAGAAGCAGATAGAAACTATGAGAGCAGCCTTGAAAATTGGGGAAGACAAGAAAGAGAAGAAGAAACAGGGTAAAAACAGTATTCATGATTCTGAGGATGATTCTGGACATTCTGATCCTGAAAGGTATTTTAATGAGGGACATGATGACAAAGAGAAGAAAGGATTTGAAAATCAAGGGTATCCCAATCCTAGTAAGAAGAAGAAAAGTAATGATACGGATTTTGATTCAGATGGAGATGCCTTAGCTAGAGAAAAAAATGGGAAACTACTAAATGAAGTGGGTGGCCTTGATTCTAGGCATGTGGATTCTTATAGTGGTGATGAAAAAGGAAAAGGTAAAAAGGAAATTTCTATGAAATATAAAAAGTCTAGTACAAGCCTAACTAATAACAGCTTAGAGATTGATAGTGGAAAGGAAAATGCAAGCAAAAATAAGAAACATGAGCAGAGACGTGTAAGGAAATCCTCGGATGAATCAGGATCTGAAACTGATGATGAGAGTAGCATTAGAAGGAAGATAATGGAGAAATACACAAAACCGCACCACAAGCATACGATTGATTATTCTGATGGTGATTGTAGAAAGAAAATTTTAACTAGAGATACTAAGCATGATAGAGATTGTGAAATTGCCAAGACAAAGCTTAAAGCTGAAGAGAAGAAGAAGAAGAAGAAACGACATGACTCTGATGAAGAAAGCTCGGACTCTGATAGCGATAAGAAACGTCAAGTGTACAAGAAGAGGAAAAGGTATGACACAGATTCTGATTCAGATGGAGTTTATTTGGCTAAAGAAAGAAAAGGGAGTCTACTGAACAAAGACCGAAGACTTGAACCTGAGCATGTTGATTCAGACGGTGGTGATAAAAAAAGAAGAGGCGGAAAGGAAATTTCCTTGAAACAGAACAAGTACACAAATAGACAGAATAATAACAGCTCAGAGATTGGTGGTGGAAATGAAAAAGCAAGTAAAAAGAAGAAGCATGAGAAGAGAGATGTTAGAGACTATTCAGAGGAATCAGGATCTGAAACTGTTGACTATAACAGTAGTAGGACTAAACTAGAGAAATACATGAAGCCTAGCCACAAGCACATGAATGATTATTCTGATGATGATGATAGAAAGAACATTTTTACTGAGGACACCAAGCATGATAGAAATAGCAAGTTTGACCGTGAGAAGCATAACGTTAGGGATAAGAAGAAGAGGCGGGATGATGCTGATGAAGAGATCTCTGACACTGATGTCGATAAGAGGCATCCAGAGCACAAGATTGATTATTCTGATGTTAATAGTAGAAATAAATTTTTTACTAAAGACACCAAGTATGATAGAATTAGCAATTTTGACCGTGACAAGCATAAAGTTGGAGAGAAGAAGCAGAAGCGTCATGATTCTGATGAAGAGAGCTCTGACACTGGTAGTGACAAGAGGCATCCAGAGCACAAGAAATCAACTGAGGCTAGCAGGAGAAAGAAGGGGAGGCTTGAAGCTGATGATGAAAACAGCGACTCTGATGGTGGAAAGAAAAAAAAGACCGTTAAGAGTGCGGGGTACCATAGTTTTCAAAAGGAGTCGGATTTGGATAGTGATGCAAGTGAAAGCGATAGCTACAGCTCATATTATAGCAGTTCCTCTTCCGATGCAAGCAGTGGCCACAGAGAAGAGAAGAATGACCGAAGAAGAGCAGGGGTTAAGGAAGTCAGAAGAGTAGATGGCAAAAGTTCCAAGAAGCGTGAATCTACATCTGCTACTAAAACAGGCCCGAGTTCCAATGGTGACCGTGATGGAGTAAAAGTTAAACCAAATCATTTCACTGATGATGATGGCAGAAGTAAGAACCTTGATTACTCTAAGAGGAGTGACAAAAGTGACTACCTCCACTCAATAAGAGACACTAACAGTATCCATGCACACCATAAGCAAGAAGCAGGAAAGGAACAAAACTTCTATGATGGTAAGCATGCTGATGTATCTAGAATGGCACATGATGTGAGGAGAACTGAAAGGGATAGCAAAAGGTATGATGGTAGTCATAAGGCTGGTGATGATCACATGGAGGGCTATCAGCCTAATAAATATGTTGAAATGCAGGGTCAGACAGCTTATTCTGCTGAAGATAAACTTGGTAGAATGAAGAATGTCACGGATGGTGAGAGATTTGGGGACAAGCTGTCTTCACAAGAACTCATTGCTGTAGATAGACATGGCAGCAGTAAACACACATATAAGAAGCATGATTATGAAGATGGTAAGAGAAATGGGCACCTTGAAAAGCATTCTTCAAAAGAAAATTTTAATGAAGACATACTTGAGGGTAGAACTTTCACAGAAGATGAAGACAGAAAGAGGAAAAGGTGTGAGAACAAGAAGACTGCAGAAGGTTTCTCCCTTCCAGACAAATATGGTAGCAGAAACAACAGCGAAGATAAGCAGGTTTATGATGAAAGGAAGCGGACAAAGTATGAGGATAAACAGGTTCCGAATGACCTCTTAAATGAAGACACACATGGCACTAGAAGACGTTTTGAAGATGACCACAATTATGAAGGTCGTCAAGGTGGCTACAGGGAAAAGCAAGCCTCAAAAGAACGGAGCCATGAGGATAAATATAGAAGCAGAAGTCATGATGAGGATCATCAAAGTTATGGTGATAATAAGAGGAGAAAATATGACGAGTCTCAGAAACATTCTAGAAGAGACAGGCGTGAGCATGAGTATAGTGAAGATAAAGGTCATCACAGGCGGCACTAATGCTGACAATGGCCCTTGCTATCCTAGTGTGATAGGTGCTACGCCTGTATGTAGTGAATTCTGCACTTTATACTTTTGATGTTGAATGATTGTGACAAACCCATCTGCTATTGTAGAGTCTTTACAGACATGGTCATCAGAATCAGAAGGCTCCATATCACTTGTCATTGATGATGCTGATATACCTGCAGCAGTTTATGTATGTGTGTGTGAACTTGTTTTTACCCCCTTAGGTATGCAAGGCCAAGGGCAGTATCCCAACAGTTTGTGTTGTTTCAAAAGGTTCTTTTTTGTGAAGCATCCTTAGCGTTCGTCATTCGCTTTTTGTATGTGACTTAGGCTTAGTTTGGTATAACTTTCTTACTACTTCTTAAAGCAGCTTTTTAGTACCAAAATTTTATACTAAAAAGCTGCTTTAAGTAGTAAGAAAGTCGTCTCAAACGATGGCTTTCTTATTGCTTCTTAAAGCAGCTTCCTAGTATAAAAGTTAAAATTTTTATACTAGGAAACTGCTTTAAGAAGCAGAAAGAAAGCTGTCCCAAAGGAAGCCTAACAGTTATTTTCTGAGAAGCGGAATTCTGTTATCTCTCTATGTTTAATGGTTGCCTGGAAACCTTCTGATGTTATTTCGTCATGTCAATTTACAGTTATCTGTTTATCTAAACCAAAATGATATATCTATTGCTTTTTATTGGTGTTGCAGGCGATCCAGTGGTATTGTTAATTGTTATGAAATCAGATTTTCTTTGATGGAGCAGTTTTCTGCTTACTGTTGGAATCGGAATTAGAAGTCTTCTGTGGTTTTTCATATGCCTTTTGCTATTCAGCGTGCTTACAGAAGTTTAGTTCCTTCACTTTTTTTCTGTATCATCTTTTATTTTTATTGGTTATATCATTTAATTTTAAGTTTTAATGTCTAGTCTTGCGCTATTCTTCTTTGTTTGCATCTATTATAGATTTATCCAGAACTTGAAATAAAATTTCACAAAATATGAAATTGTGTGGTGCAGACTGACTTACCCCATCAAAATTGTTATTTGCTTACTTTAATATGCTATGATTGCCATTGTTTTGTTAGCTGATCTTCATCCTACCTTATGTCGATTTGTCTTTTCGTTCAGGTCCTTTTCATTTAATGATTCAAAGTACATGAACTTAATAAGCCTGAAACCAACATTTCTTCTGGTCCTTCACCTCCTCTTCTTTCAATATCTTGTGCTCCACCTCCTTTTATCTCATACTGTAATTCATTTTGGGGGTCTTTTCATTTGAGAGTCTTCGTAGTCTGTTACCTTTACTAGGATGGTGTTTCATTGGGCTTAATTTAGATTTGAGCCAGATTGAGCTAATGAAGGATTCTATCCTAGGTAGGAATGACTCCTTGTAGAAAAAAAATTCATGTGAGCAAGAATGTTGGGCTTCATAAAGACTGTATGATTATTATGCGGACTGTCACACAAATCACAACTTACTGCAATAACAATATCAAACTTTTATCACACTAAGTGGGATCAGCTACATTAATTCCTTTTTTTTCTCAAATGTATTCGGTTAAGAATCAAATTCTCATTTAAATTTAATAAAGAAACGTCATTTCTAATATTTTTTCAATTGCCTACCATAATGAATTTTGCTAATATAGTTATGCCAAATTTAACAAAGGCCAAATGCTTGCTCCTCATCAATATGCTATTATTCAATAATAGTGGCAATGACAACGAGATTCTCACTCTGTGAGAGACTATTGTTTCGTTTGAGATAATTTTTTAGTACAAAAATTTTTACTTTAAAAATTTTTTATAATAAAAATTTACTTTAAGAAATAATAAAAAATTATCCCAAACGAAACTTATCAGGCTTTCAATATGATTGTGAAGTCACATTTGAATGAAGAACTTGCTAATCTGATGATTCAATCTATTTTGATAATTTCGATCAAAATAATATGTGAGTTTATAAATATGATGTTTATACATCATGTTTAGCTCGTTTAAGTATTGATACTTATTAAATTATGCATCATAAGAAGGATTTTCACAATTCCTAACCGTTATAAAACAATTTGCAAGTACCTTGTTATAAATGACTCACTCACTCCAGGCATAAAAAAGAAGCAATTAAGTACTAGCAAAATATATATCAGTTAAAAACACGCATCATCACCATCATCTCCTCCCATCCATCCAAACTTACATCCCTCACAATCACACTCGATCTCCTTCCTCCCACTCTCCCCTTCCTTCTCCCAAACCTTCATTCCTACAAGAACCTCAATCTCCTTCCCTCTCAACTCTCTGCTCCTGCGTTCTAACTTCACCCATCTCTCCACCAAATCTTCCTTCCATGGAACATTTACTGTAGCCAACACCTTAGACTCTGCTGGCATCTTCATACCAAAAACTGAATAGCCTCTCCTCCTCCACCTCAACTCCAACATAACAGACATCTTCTTCTTCTTCTTCTTTATATCTTCTATGAAGGAAGGATCAGCTCCAACTGAATTAACTCTGCATTCAAACAGAGCTTTGTGGTTCAATGAGATCATGGAGTTGGATGAGCTCAAGGGAATGCATTTAGTGTCCACACGAAATGTTTTCTCTGATCCTGGTTTGAAGTAGTACCTGATGAAGAGATTTCCCGGCAAGGAGAGATCGATTTCGAGGTTTTTTAGCTTTAGAATGGTGAACTCATAGTTAAGAAGAGTAGATAAATGAAAGGAGGAAGAAGAAGACATGGACACCATATGGTTTTGAAGAAAGGAAGAGTAGTTTGTGGATAGCAGCTTTAAGGAGATTTGGCTAACATACATCTCTATATATAGACTGGGAAGAAAATGCAGAGTGAATTTATATATTTTTTTATGGGGACCATGACATTTTCATAGTGCTTGAGTAAAGGCAGTATAAAACGCGTATTTGACTCAAAAGTTATCAAATCTTAAGCCTTTAATCACTATAATTAAACATTTAATATTCTGGTCAATGTATTAATTAGATAGAACAGTAAAGCGCATAGAATTAGGTTAGGCTAGATACCATACTATCTTAGAAACCAATCTCCTTGGAGCATCTATTGATTTTTCTCTTTTATTTTTATTTTTTTATTATGAATGGTGTTTGAGTCATCTTTAATATAATGGAAGCTTTATGTGGGAGTATTAATTGTAGTGTTACAGAAATATTAATGATTGGCTTCATAATTATAAATATAAAATTTTTAAGATAAAAATATTGTACTACAAAGCTCTTTTTAGAAAACAAAAAGAAAATTATTTCAGACGAAGTCCTACATAAGAATGCATTTACATATTTTTAGGTATGTATATGCATTTAAATTAATGTATATATATACATTTATATATTTGTATTATATGAATCTATGTATTTATGCATGCTAGCTTAATAATTTATCTTAAGAGATCAAAATTTGATTGAGAGAAGCTCTTGAATCAAATTTGATAAATCGAGTCGGATCATAATAAAATTTGGTTCAGCTCAGATCAAACTGGATTATTTCATGCTAATGGATCAAAAACTGCACAATTCATGGAGATCATATAGTTGATCCCATTATCCTATCTTTGCTTAAATCATATCATTATATTAATCTATTTTATTTATATGATCAACTTGAGAAGTGATGAGGATGTCAATTAGAAGATAAGGATAGTTAATCTTTCTTTGTTTATTTAAAGTTATCCTCAGCCATATCTAATATAAGATTCAATGTTCTAAGTATCACAATCATATATTTACATGGAATTATAGTCATTAAACTAAACAAGTCAGTTAATAATCTGTAACCTGGATAGTAAGGATACTTACAAGAACTATCTTTATAATATTATAATGTTTATTCAGCTACCTTATAGTGATACTTGCCAGTCTCTGATATTGCCCTAATCTCATCCTAGCAGCAAAGGCTGGAGCAACCTAAAATTATGCCATCTTTATCACTAAAATTAGTCAGGAAGTAGACTGTTGTCATGCCCATAATTAAACTCTAGATTAGATAAGATTAAAGCATACTAATAACAAGCTTAAGAGATGGCTTCCGCCAAGTCTAGAAATGAGTTCAAGAGGAAGCTTTCATGGTGTAGGATTTTATATTGGATAACATTATACTATTTATAACAGCTCGAACTCATAATCCTCAAAATATTATCTTCTTTGACCTATTGGCCGCACAATTTTATCCCATTGCTCCAACTTTTTTAGGACCGCAATCATTCTAAGAGCAGTCATGTATGAGCATGCTTAATTTCAAAATTTCCAATAAAATTTTAACAATTACATCAAAATATATTTTTATGTTTGAGAGTTTGACTTTATTTTGTTTAACTAATTCAAAGTCCTACTAAAGGAAAGGAATTGGCCTTCATATATTCCAACAAGGGATGGAAAATCAAAAAGGGCGCAAATTAGTTTTCGCCATTAAATCATTTTATGTTAGTCAAATTCACAAAAAGTGGCCTAAAAATAGTTATCCAATACACAACAATAGAAGATATTTCATCATGTCCAATGTGGAAACTGCAAAACGTTGTTAGTGGGATATGGGCTCCGAAAATTTGCTCCCCGGCCTCTCCACGGCCCCTTTCTCTTTTTTGGGTCATCAAAGAGAATTTAAAAGCTTAAGTTCCGAGGCAAATTGGGTTTTAAATAAAACACTATCGAGAGATGTCGTCCTCATTTTGCGAGGACTTTATGATCTGTGTTAATTACCCATCCCGATAGCGAGAAAGAACTTTCGATTAAGGCTAGTCGTCAAATAGATACAGAGAATTTGATGTATAGTAGCAACGTAGTTTATGTATTTAAAAATTTAATATTTCAAATTAAAAATTCACCACCTTGCAATTAAAGCATATGATGGGGGGGGGGGGGGGGGTGGGGGGGGGGGGGGGGGGGGGGGCGATGATGAGCACAATCAAGATCTGTGGGCTCCAAAAATTCACATCCCGAACTCTCCTCTTTCGGAAGAGTTTTAACGAATTAAGTTCCGAGGTAAAATTTCTAAAGGCATATTGGATTGTGAATAAGACACTACCTAGATATTTAGCCCTCATTTTGCGATGACTTTATGATTTGAGTTCTAGTTTCCTATAGGCACAAGATCTTATAGTTAATTGCCCCTCTCGATAACGGGAGAGGACTTTCGATTAAGGCTAGTTGTCGATCAATTACATAGAAATACATAGTATTTGGTGTATAATAGCAGCAGGTTTGGTATTGTTGAAGATTTAATATTTAAAATTAAATATTTCGCCATCTTACACTTGAAGCGGATGGTGGGGGAATGATGATGAACCCGATTAATATCCCATGGTTTTGCCATTCCGAGTCATCATAGTCCCTGGTCTACTTAATTAGAGGATGTAGTCGACCCAACCTGACCGAATGATCATTGTCGGCATCCATTGGTTGTTTTGTCCAATGGCAACTTGTAGGGGTGAATATTTGTTTAAGGGGACAAATTTGAATTCACCTTAGTTGACAAATGGCTTTGTACCCTATCTATGATATCCAATTGATTCATATGTCAAGGATTTAATGTCGTTGGAGATCATACGGGTTATAGCCATAACCGTAATATAGTGGAGTCGTTGGACCAAACCATTAGGTCTGGGGGTCTTTGTCGTAATTTTTAATCAAATGGAGCCATCTAGCTAAACAAGAGTTATTTGCGGAGCCGTCAGACCAAACTGTAGATTAGAAGACCAATGCCACGTCCTTATTGATAGGAGATTATTTGAGAATGAATATTAGTGATATTCTCGACCAGACATTAGCTCTTTATGAGCTGAAGTAGTTTTCAAATTTGTCCACCTCGGTAACTTGTTGCGGAGGGTGAATTGATTTTGCTTTAAGCGTTTGATGATTTATTTTAATTTAAATATTTTAAATTTTGTAATTTTTTTCTTTTTTTTATAATTTTTATGGGCATTTGGGAAGTCTTCGTAAATATTTGGAGTTAATTCCTCTGGTTGAGATCTACGTTTAACACGACCATCATTGGGATAACTTATGACATTTTTATTTTTTGTTGAACCTTATCGACTCTGCCAACTTGCTAACAAAGGATCATATTTTTTATTGGTTTTATACTTTTATTAATGAACTTTCCCGGTTATAGGCCTTGAAGATCTAATATGAACGTATAAAATCAAATATCTCGGTTAATATTGTGACCGTATATTTATTCATTGATTCAAGTCGTGTCGACACCCGTCCTATCAAGGAGAAGGATTGAACATAAACTTAAGTTCATTTCTTGACCTGCGCAGCATCATCAGACGTCACATGTGTAAATACAACATGCTCATCGGGGTCCATGCATGTATTTGGGGGGCATTTTTGTAATTATCTACTGAACCTTATCGACTCTGTTTGATTGTTGGCAGATGATCGGGTTTGTACTAGACTTTGTGCTTTTGCCAATGAATTTTCTTTATTATAAACCTTGAAAGTCTAATATGAACATATAAGATAAATATTCTGGTCGATACTACAACCGTATATTCGTTTGTTGGCTCAAGCCATGTCAACTTTTATCCTTTCATGGATAAGGATCGAGTTTGAACTGTGATTTATATTTGACCAATGCAGCATCCTCAGACGTCACGTGTGCACCCATAACACGCTTGTCGAGGCACATGCGGGCGTACATTCTTACATGTATACTGATTAATGTACTTGCATGTGTACTTTCACATATATATATATATATATATATAAGATTTTTAATAACTTGAAAACAAATAATCTGGATCCGATGGCATGGCATGACACTATTGTTATTTGCTGCTTCTTGTAGATGAGAAATGCGAAGGGCTTCACTTGAGAATTTGCACAACCCTTTTATCCGTTTGTATGCATGTTGTGAATCCGATGGCGTGGTGTGACACTATGATTATTTGCTGCTTCTTGCATATGAGAAATACACAGGGTTTTTCTTGAGAATTTGCACATGCCTTATGTCCGCTTGTATGCATGTTGCGGATCTGGTGGCATGGTGGCGTGGCATCATGGTGCGATAGGTCTCATTTGAGAATTTGTAAACACCTTCTATCAGCTTGCATGTATGTTGTGGATTCGGTGGTGTGACGCTACATCATGAGTTGTTTGCTACCCTATGTGGGTAGATTGTCATGCACTAACGAATCTCCCATTGTAGTTCTTAGATAACTGCATTCACTATAATTATCTTGTACTCGCTCACATATAGTTTGTTGTATGCACAACGAGTTCCCTACGATAGCTCGTAAGCATTTGCATTTGGTGTAATCACATTGCATTTTGCTTGTGGACAATACATTGGATGCATAACGGCTCTTCTACAACAGCTTGCAGGAGCTTACATTTATTGTAGCTCTCCTACATTTGTTATGATCTTCAGCCCTTGCTTACAAATGACGCGTTGCATATGCACACTCACAGAGGATCCCTCGTCCTTGCAGCATAACCTCTGTTATTGCTTGTTATGCAAACAAATATGCTCATTTGTAATTTGATGTTGGCTGCCAGCTGAACTGCATTCACCAATGATATCTTCATGCATTTTGATTGGCAAGTTATTACATATCGATCATCCCCGCTTATAATCAGATGAACATGTTTGTTTGTAAGTTAAGGTTGACTATGTGGGTAGGGGTGTCAATTAGGGTCAACGGGTTGGGTTCGGGTCAAACCCAACTTAACCTGGCCGTAAATAGGTCGACACTAACTCGACCTGATTTTACAAACGGGTCAGGATTGTCAACCCAGACCTGACTCGTGCGGGTTGCTAGGTTGACCCGACCCAACCCGCTAGGGAAATAATCACCTGCTCGTAATAGCAGCGCGAGAGGGACGGTGGCAAGCAGATAGCGGTGGCAGACAGCGGTAGCTCTGTTGGGATGGTAGAGGCAACGCTAGCGGAATTACAAACGACAACGGCGACACGACAGAAGCACAAGCAGGACGACGACAGCCGGGGCCGGCAACAAGTCGACAACGGTGAAGCGATGAGGTAGTGAGCAACAAGCGATAATTGACGCAGCACTAACGCGACGAACGCGATGACGCAATGCGAGTGACACAACGATTGACGAAGATAGGTCACACGAGATTACAAACGGGTCAATCCGGATTGGTTTTAGGTTTTTGGATCAACCCAAACCCAATCCGATTTTACAAACGGGTTGGAATTACAAACCCGAACCCGACCCATATGACAAACGGGTCGAAATTACAAACTTGTAGGAAGTCATTGCACCTGTGTTATGTTCGTTATCATCATTCGCATATGACTTGGTGTACTCGTTTGCAATGACACTAGTTACACGCAGTACGGGGTATGTTTGCAATACAAATCTTTCCTTCTATCGTAGGTAAGGCATTGTATGCATAACATCTTTGTTAACCATATTTGTTAGGGAACCCATTATATTTACAATTTGTCAACTATCGTAGTTGTTTATTAGTGTTTACAATAAACTACATTGTTCGCATGTGGATTGGTGTTTTCACTCCCAATCGATGACATTGATTGCATGAGGATTGCATTTGCTTCGAATTTTTTAAATACACCTTCATCGACATTTATTGCATGTTGAACCCTTTTATTGCTTGCAGTGCTTAATATGCTTGGTCATATATTGACATTGAATACAAGATGCTGCATTTGTTGCTTGTTGATATTTCAAATTCTCTGCACAAGCATGAACAATAAGATTGTTGTATGTCACTTATCATCCGGTCGGTAATTGCAATAGAGTGATAGGAAACACATGAAGATTTCAAGTAATTCCTATCAAGAGAGCAAAAACAGCGAGAAAACGCTTTCAAACTCCAATGAAAAATAACAAAATAGTAATTTTATTGCATGAAATCCATTAATACGGAAAGGAAAGAGCAAGGTACAATTGATCCTCTATTCGAGATGAGGATAGTTCTCTCCCAATCTCTAGACGCCGCTAGAGCCCAAAGGAAACCTAACCCTAAGAAATCTCAAATTTCAGCCAAATTCAAGATGCTCTAACCCTAGGAAAACAAACTATTTAATGCATACAAATCAAAAAGAAATCCATAAACATTCACTACATTAAAATTTCCTCATAAACTTTTTTCAAAAACCCTTCCAAAACTTCTATGTTGACGTTGGCGGTGCGATCGGCATACAGGAGAGGCGAACGTTTACGCCTTGGTTCCGCCTAGGCCGGTCCCGTATGGACCAGTCTAACATAGAGCTATTAGATATCACAATGATTTTTTTGATGATCCTATTAGTGATGATGATAATGATAATATTGATTTTGGGGCATAAAAGACTTGACTTAGATCTTCAAAAGACTTCATTTAGAATCTTGCCCTATCATAAGTTAATAGTTTTCATCTTTAATGAACTCGGAACTTCTATTCGATATTTAGAACTATGTTTACTTTTCTATTGTGCATCTTTTATGAGTTAAAATTATACTTTTTTTATGAACATGGTATGTTATCTAATTTTTCATAATTTATGAAATTGTTTTTTGTTTTCAACTCAAAACATACACCTTGATTTGATTCAAAACCTACGTTTCGATTTTATTGAGAAAACCACCTCTATTCCCAATATAACATCACCTATACATTTTTGCATGCCACAATAAAAAAATTAGAAATTTGACAACAGCAAATAATATAGACAAAGGTTTTGTCATAAAATTTGATGGATGGAGGTGAGGGGGATATGGTTCTGTAAGTCTAAAAGATATAGATATTACATAAAAATTTTGATCCTAAAAAATTTTCTTCAAACTAATATGCATTTAGCTGTAAAAAAAAGTATAATATTTCATGCAGCAACTTTCCAAACCTGTTTTTTCACAGCAAGTTGGAAAAAGATCTGACCTCCTGGCATTTGATTTTGCAGAAACCTGTTCTTTAGCTTCAAGCTGGGAATATACACACCTTTACTTGCCTGTCCACACTCTGAAACAAATAAAACACATTATTTGATACAATTCTTCATCCATAAGAAGATCAAGTTGTTTCTGAAAAGTACAAGATGCACATTCTCCCTCTCATACAGCCCCACCAATATCCAGTCCCTGTGAAGCATCAAATTCAACAAACATCTCCAATTCACTGCCCATCAAAATTGGAAAAATCTAAGCCCTTCAGAAAGGGAGATCAATTTTTTCTTTAGTTTCAAAGATCTAGAAACTCCCAACCTCTACCCACTTTTTGGAAGAAGGCCATCTTTTGCCATCTCAGTAAGAACATCAACCACAGCCTCCAAGTTTCCATCCCTCAAGTTTATGTCAGCAAGAATCTTTGATGATTCAGCATCTGTTAGCACAGAGCTTCTCAATAAATGCTCAATAATCTGATTAAGCTCTTCATTCATCCCCTCAGTTGCAAGCCCTTTTATTAGAAATATTGTACTTATGGCACTAGGAGAGAGACCAGCCTGCAGCATTTCCTTATACAGGCTTAGCCCCTTCAGAACATTTCCACATTTGCAGTGCCCATGAATAATTACATTATAGGCAGCCTCATCAGGCTTCAAGCTCCTCTCACGCATGGAGCCAAACACTTTATCAGCTTCATCCATCAATCCTTTCATACAAAAGCTCTTTATTAGAGATACAACACTCTTGAAATCTGTTTTGTCACAGCTTTCCATTAAAGCATCATATGTGATTCTATCTGGAATATTCTCCTCATGGTATAGCCTAAAAAGTAGGCGTCTGGCTTCCTTGGTTCGTGACATCTTGTTAAGACCATTTATGAGGACACTATAAGTAACTACATCAGGGAGAATACCATTCCCAATCATCTCATAGTGAAGAAGAAAAGCCTTCTCCAACTCCCCTTCTTTGCAATGCCCATCAATAAGTGTTGTGTATGTCAGTTCATCAGGCTTCAACCCCTTGCTAATCATTTCATCGAACATCTCAGCAGCATCACCCAATCTTCTCACCTCACAAAGTCCCCTAATGAGTGAAGAGTATGTAATTGCATCGGGCAAGACACCCTTGGCAACCATTTCTCTGTAAAACTTGAATGCCATATCCACATCTCCAATTCTACAATACCCACTAAGTATTGTGCTGTAAGTTATCACATCAGGCATCAAGCCTCTCTCCTTCTCCATATCACGAATAATCAACAAAGCCTCTTCCATTTTTCCCAAAATACAGTACCCATTAATCAGAGCATTATAACAGACAACTGATGCTTCAATCCTATTCTCTCTCATCTCCTTCATAACATCCATGGCCTCATCCAAGAGACCCTTCTTTGAAAACCCGCTTATCAAACTTGTGAACGTAACCTCGTTGAGTCGAATCCCTCTCTCCCGCATCCTCCCAACAATCTCCATTGCCCTGCTCAGATTGCCAGCATTGCACATCGCGCTAATTACCGAAGTATATGTCACCACATTCCCTTTCACGCCTTTCCTCCACATTTCATCAATCACCACCAATGCCCCGTGCACATCCCCCTCCTTACAATACCCATTCACAAGAGTATTATAACTAACCACATCAGGCACTACTCGCTCCTTAGCCATTTCATCAAACAACTTACGTGCATCTCCTACCCTCCTCTCCCTGCAATACCCATTCAATAACGAATTATAAGTAATCAAGTTCGGCCTCACTCCCCTCTCTAGCATAAAGCCCAACAATCCAATTGCTTTGTTGGCCGCCCCCGACTTGCAGTACCAATCAATCAGAGTGTTATAAGTGACAACGTTAGGCGAACAACCAGCCATCCTCATCTCTTCAAAATAGCCAATCGCCGTGTCAAAATCTCCGCTTGAGCAGAACCCACGAATGAGAATGTTATAAGTGTAGACATTGGGGGAGACGCCGGAATAGGTGATCTCGGATAAGAGCTTCTTGATGGAGGCATCGGAGTGGCGAGAGCGGAACATGGCGTGGAGGATAGAGTTGTGGGATAGTAAAGAGGGAGTGAAGCCGATAGATTTAGCGAGAGAGAGAACAGAGAGGGCTTCGGGGATTTGGAAGGAAGACGAGTAGGATTTGATGAGGAGGTCGACGGCATTAGGGGAGGCGGAAAAGGCGGAGTTTTGAGAGGGAAGGAGGGAGAGGGAGGTGGAGAGGGAGGGGAGGAGAGAAGAGAGGGGGAAGTGAGAGGTGAGGAAGCGGGAGAGGGAGAGCGCGGGAGAGATAAGGTTGAGGTGAGAGAGAATGTGGAGGGCGAGGGAGAGGGGAGAGAGGGAGGGAGGGGAGGAAGGGAGGCGAAAGAGGAAGGGGAAGAGAGAGAGGGTGAGGCGGCGGCAGGGGAAGGCAAAGAGGAAGGCATGGGTTAAGGTGGAGGGGCTAAGCGGGTGGGTGACGGGGAGTTTGTGATTGAGGCGGGCGAGGGTTTCTTTGGCCAGTTTGAACTCGTCGGCGGCGGAGGGGTTCGGCCAGCGGGGCCTCATGTCAACGTGGAGAGGACCATTGCTGATGGTCTATAGAGTATAGTCTCTACATTCTGAAGGTTGTGGGGTGTCGTTAGTGATGTTCTCTCTTACAAGTATGGTTTAAATATATAAAATTATATAAAGATAGTTTTTTGGGAAATAAATAGAGAAATTTTACTTTTTATATTCTTCATAATATGAATATTTATCTCATGTATTTTTATTTAAAAAATATTTATAATTTACAAAGTTCATTTGTTATTATTGTATTAAGAGGGAGACCCTCCTATAAATATTAATCATTGATTTTTTTTGTTACTTGAACTATTATGTTTTAAGTATATGCTCAATCGATCTTGAGGATTGTTTGATATTTATAATATTTGTATTGCTCAAACTTTGATGTCTCTTTAGCAAGTTTTTGTTGTTCTAAGATTATTTGTGTTGCTTTATTTATTTGAATTAAAATACAATCAACGTCAAGGATTATAAATAATTTATCAAACAGGGAGATTGGAGTAGGAGGTGTAGGAGGCAGTAACATGATTTGATTTTAACAGCTAAATACCTTCACAACTTGGTTAGAGGGTTTGGTAACAATCATAAATTCATAATGATGACCTATAGTATGATGAACACAATGTACCTTAGTAATACATTATTATTTATGATATGGCTTATTATACTGTAGCATATATGCAATCAAATTTTTAATAAAGTATCAAGTTTTACTCTACCCCAATACATTTTGGGTAGATATAGCTGTCTTAGATGAATAATTTGATCAATAATGCATAGTGATAGTGTGTGTATACTTTTACTATTAGTGAATTAGAATAAGTCCCATTAGATAATATGTGAAGTGGCATTATTTATGAAGTTGATGACATTAAATTTTTTTTACCATTTTATTTTTACACCACATACACAAATGCTAAGACAAACAATGACCCATTAGAAGACAAACAATGACCCACTATGTAAGTGTTTCTATGCATTGTTAGAAGAGCATGGGTTATGCGCACACATAAAGGACTTTCTCTCATCACTTTAAATATAGATGTGGCTAACATAAATGAGGTGAAATCATAAAGTTCAAGTAATAACCTTGAGATTGTGAGTAAATAAAATATTTAACATCTTATTTCTATAACTTATACACTAACAAGTTTTCAATTGTATTATTTTGCAGCAAATGGTTGTGGAGTATATGCAATCCATTACTTAAAAGAAGACTCTCCTTGAATTATGAATTATATTATGTAATTTTCATAGAGAAGTTTTTTTCGTAGACTTATTCTTCAATAACTTAGACCCTTAATGCATTTTAAAGTATTTCATGTCATTATAATTGAATTTGTGTGGACTTCTAAATAAATTTTGTGAATTTATCTATTTGCATACTTGTTCTTAAATTATGTAGCTATGACACTTATTTTATGTGCAATTATATAGTTATAGATCTTAATTGAATTTTTAAACTATATAGCTATGTAGATCATGATTGATGTTGATGTGAATGTAGTTATATAGTTATGTGTAAATTATGTTTTGTCATTGATATTCTGAAGTAGATGTTGGTCATTATGGAGAATGATCTTTAAGTTGCACTTATCTATCACAATCTTAGCAAAGTTAAAACTTTGCTCTATATTAAGCACAAGTAGAAAGAAAGAGATGAATGTGGTTTGGACATAGTTATGTCATATTCATATTATGTTTGTTCCTTATTTGAACATTATTCTACATTAAACATGAGAAAAAAGCATGAGTCGAATATGGTTTTAACACAATTGAACAAGTTTCAAATAATGTGTAAACCAACTTAACTCTTTTTTAATCTTGAAGTTTGAACCAAGTTGAATAAGGTTTGAATCTTGTCAATCCAGATCAAACATGATTAAAATATGATTGATAATCGATGTAACATATTCAATATTATTTCGAACCTAATCGAAGTAGGTTATAAATAAGTTCAAAGAAGTTTAGACCTCTTTAAAACTTGATCTTACAAGGTTCAAACTAGGTTGAAACTTGATTGAAAATGGTGTTTCGATATGTTATGGGTGAGATATCAACAATTTTTTGAGTGAAATACATTTACTTTCAAGGGCATTTATGTTTTGAAATGAACTTTAAGGGATATTTTTTATATTAAAATATATGGAGCATATTTGCCCAATGGCCCTATTATGGAGGATATAAATTCAAATTTTCTAGTGCATATTGTTGATATTCATCAAATGATATGGCATATGCATATATATATATCGCACATCTAATATATTTTTCTTAATCTAGATTCAATCAAACTATTGCTTGTGAAGAAGCTGGCCAAGAATATTTGTTGGTTCTTTTTCATGCTTTAGGTGTTATTTGGCTATATGTTCTTCTTAAATGAATGCATTTTAGAAATAACAAGTAATTGAAATATAAACATTTTAAAAATTGTGTGTGTTGTTTGATTTGATATAAATTAATAATGTTAAATAATTTAAGTGTTCATTATGATACATTTAAAATGTGATGAAATATAGTAGGTGGACAATAGTGGACAGTGGTTGGGGCTAGTGGTGGCAATGACAGGCAACAACAGGCAAAACTGTGAGCTAATGTAGTGACAGGTGTGTAATGACATGTTGTGGTGGGTGGCAATGATAAGCACTATCAAGCAGCCGTTGATTATTAACAACAACAAATGGCAAGTGACGAGAAAGTTATTTTAGAAAGCTATCCCAAATAAAGCCTTAATGTAATATGAGATACATTAGGTTGATGTAGACAACATATTATACAATATTGTGGAGAATTACAATTTCCGTCACTTCAATTAGTCATTAGAACCTATTGCTAACCACTACATTTTGATGCAAATCACCAAAACTCTAATTTAGAGGGATTGGTGACCAAGGATCCTGTTAGATGAGTTGCTTAAAGAATTGTTAAAACATCCTAGATAAGTAGTTGACTTCCAATAAAATCACCACCAAGAACAACCACCTAAAGCTACTACTAATAAGAGAGAGAGAGAGAGAGAGAGAGAGAGAGAGAGAGTAGTTCGCATTTTAATGGCTATTGTACAGGGAAACAAATTTAGGCTTCGTTTGGGACGGCTTTCTTGATGCTTCTTAAAGCTGCTTTCTAATACAAAAGTTTCAATTTTTTAACTAAAAAGCTGCTCTAAGAAACAGCGAGAAAGCCGTCCCAAACGAAGCCTTAGTTGACCATAAGATTTAGGAACAAATTTAATCAAATCCTAAGCTAATTTTAGACTAAGGTTTTATTTGGAACAGTTTTTTTTAGTACAAAATTTTTTTAAATTAAAATTTTGTACTGAAAAGTAACTTTAAAAATCAATAAAAAAAATTTATCCCAAAAAAACCAAGAAGCATTTATTGAAAACAGTCAGAAAACCCTAAATCACTAAGTCACAAAAATAAATAAATAAATAAAATAAAAAATAAATAAATAAATAAATAAAAAAGTCGTGTAGTTCTCGATCCTTGCCAACTTCCTCACATTTTGGCATTTTGCAATCAGATAGGTTGCTGCTGATAGGCTAAATTGAAAAGCCCATGGATTTCGGTGCACTTCAGCATGCTGGGCCGACAAAGGCCCATGGACATATATTGAACCTGTACATTACATATAGAGGGAACAAGAGAAGAGAGAATATATTTAAACGGATGGAGCAATTCAATTATTCTCAGACATTTTTTCTTATCATTCTAGTTTTAATACTAAAAAAACATCATTAAACAACCGAAATCTTACTTTTTTTTTTTGGTCAAACAACCACAATTCGAAATTCATATAAAAGAGCGTAGCAAAAGTTCACAATTTCAATAATCAAAACTAACAATGTTTCCAACACATCAGGGGTTTTTTTATAAATAACTAAAACAAAACAGAACTCTAAAACACATGTCCTTCAAATAATAAAAGGGAAAACAGTGCGGTTACCCTGAACCCAAATCAGCGACACCTGAGAGTATTCTTAAAACCCTAGCTTAGTGCGTCTCCAGTGCCTGCGCTTAGCATTGTACTTAATGGTGTTGTTGGTCCTCATGCGAATCCAATGGGGAATGGGCATATTCTGCCTCATCTTCTTCGACAGCTTCTTATTGATCCGAAAAATCATGAACGAAGGCATCTTCGCTGCCGCTCCAAAGCAAGACGGCCGATGTTGAAGAAACCCTAGCTCAAGGGAACTTATGAACCGAAATCTTACTTATTAGTAGAAAAATAAATCAGGCACATTAAATGACAAATTAGAACTTAAATGAATGCATTGAAAACTCTATTAAACAAACGAAGAATTCATCAGAACTAGCGGAACATAATAGAGTTATTTCATAGAGAATTCTAATGATATCCCATGTTGATAATAGCTGCAAATAAATCATTAGCAGACACAACTTGGGAGTCTGTTGAACCAACAGCTCAAAACTACAAGCTAGATTAGAAATAATACTTAGTTTAGCGACTGATTTAAGAGTTAATTATAGAGGGTTGAAAGATTTAAATAACTTATAGCTTTGATCGATGAGCTTCAATTTATAGAAGAATTCCATCAACTTTTGTGAATTGATTATCTTAATCAATATGAGAAGCGGTCTGATACAAAATGTAGCTAAACAAAAATATTTAACTATTTTAAATATTAAATATATTATTAGACAATAAGAATATCTGAAGATAAATAGTTTTATCTTATTAAATTGCAGAGCTAAAGCCAACTAATTATAAAAATAATATTAGGTAGCAACAGTCTTCAACGTCAACATTAATTAGAGGAATCGAGCACGTTTGCATGTCTTTGCGTGCTTAATTGAATATATTATTTCCACTGTTCACGATCAAAGCCTATCACCCATAAAATTTAAGGGCTCGTATCATTGGATTTTGCAGCTATTATAAGTTATGTGGCTATAAATTGAGCTTTTTTTTAATAATGAAAAGTATTTTTATTTTAAAAATAGAATTATAAATTGTTGGGATCCTTAGAAAGAATTGTTATTTTCATGCAATTAAGTC